TATGTATAGCAGGTAAACAACTCATCATTCCAAAGTTGCAATCAGCTTAATATACAAGGCATTAGCAGAGTCACCCATCCTCTTGTACTCTTTGACAAGTAGCCTAATGGACAACAAGTACATGGCAGTGCTTGTCCAACTGGAATTATCCTCCACTTATAACCTCATCAATCATGGCATTATGTTATACATATTGCCTGTAGGTTAAAGCACTAGATGAGATATGCTGTTGCCATATGTTGTAGGTTTATCTACCCCTGTTACGTGGACGATATGTCAACTAGGTCATCTATCTCTTGTATCATGAAACCTCTTCACTCAAGGAACTTTCTTAACTAAGATATTTTCAAAACTTTCATTATTTTTTTACTATCATCTCATTGGCTACAGCATCCAAAAACTATTATATCATTGGCTATAGCATCCAAAAACTATTATATCATTGGCTATAGCGTGCAGAAACTATCATATCATTGGCTATAGCGTCCAGAAACTATAATATCATTGGCTATAGCATCCAGAAACTTTTATATCATTGGCTATAGCGTCCAGATACTATTATATCATTGGCTATAGCGTGCAGAAACTATCATATCATTGGCTATAGCGTCCAGAAACTATAATATCATTGGCTATAGCATCCAGAAACTATAATATCACTGGCTATAGCATCCAGAAACTATCATATCATTGGCTATAGCATCCAGAAACTTTTATATCATTGGCTATAGCGTCCAGAATCTATTATATCATTGGCTATAGTATCCAGAAACTATTATATCGTTGGCTATAGCGTCCAGAAACTATAATATCATTGGCTATAGGGTGCAGAAACTATCATATCATATCCAGAAACTATAATATCACTGGCTATAGGATCCAGAAACTATCATATCATTGGCAATAGCATCAAGATACTATTTTATCATTGGCTATAGCGTGCAGAAACTATTACATCATTGGCTATAGCGTGCAGAAACTATTATATCATTGGCTAAAGCATCCAGAAACTATTATATCGTTGGCTATAGCATCCAGATACTATAATATCACTGGCTATAGCATCCAGAAACTATCATATCATTGGCAATAGCATCCAGATACTATTTTATCATTGGCTAAAGCATCTAAAAACTATTATATCATTGGCTATAGTGTCCAGAAACTATCATATCATTGGCTATAGCGTGCAGAAACTATCATATCATTGGCTATAGCGTCCAGAAACTATCATATCATTGGCAATAGCATCCAGATACTATTTTATCATTGGCTAAAGCGTCTAAAAACTATTATATCATTGGCTATAGCGTCCAGATACTATTATATCATTGGCTATAGTGTCCAGATACTATTATATCATTGGTTATAGTGTCCAGATACTATAATATCATTGGCTATAGCGTCCAGATACTATTATATCATTGGCTAGAGCGTCCAGAAACTATTATATTATTGGCTAAAGCGTGCAGAAACTATTATATCATTGGCTAAAGCATCTAAAACCTATCATATCATTGGCTATAGCGTCCAGATACTATTATATCATTGGCTAGAGCGTCCAGAAACTATTATATCATTGGCTAGAGCGTGCAGAACCTATTATATCATTGGCTATAGCATCCAGAAACTATTTTATCATTGGCTATAGCATCCGGAAACTATCATTTCATTAGCTATAGCATCCGGAAACTATCATATCATTGGCTATAGGGTGCAGAAACTATCATATCATTGGCTATAGCATGCAGAAACTATTATATCATTGGCTATAGCGTGCAGATACTATTATATCGTTGGCTATAGCATCCAGAAACTATTTTATCATTGGCTATAGCAGCCAGAAACTATCATATCATTTGCTATAGGGTGCAGAAACTATCATATCATTGGATATAGGGTGCAGCAACTATCATATCATTGGATATAGGGTGCAGCAACTATCATATCATTGGCTATAGCGTGCAGAAACTATTATATCATTGGTTATAGTGTCCAGATACTATTATATCATTGGCTAAAGCATCTAAAAACTATTATATCGTTGGCTATAGCGTCCAGATACTATTATATCATTGGCTAGAGCGTCTAAAAACTATTATATAATTGGCTAGAGCGTCTAAAAACTATTATATCATTGGCTATAGTGTCCAGATACTATTATATCATTGGCTTAAGCGTCTAAAAACTATTATTTTATTGGCTATAGTGTCCAGATATTATTATATCATTGGCTAAAGCGTGCAGAAACTATTATATCATTGATTATAGGGTGCAAAAACTATTATATCATTGGTTATAGTGTCCAGATACTATTATATCATTGGCTAGAGCGTCCAGAAACTATTATATCATTGGCTAGAGCGTCAAGATACTATTATATCATTGGCTAGAGTGTCCAGATACTATTATATCATTGGCTAAAGCGTCTAGATACTATTATATCGTTGGCTATAGCGTCCAGAAACTATTATATCATTGGCTAGAGCGTCAAGATACTATTATATCATTGGGTTAAGCATCTAAAAACTATTATATCATTGGCTAAAGCATCCAGATACTATTATATCATTGGCTATAGTGTCCAGAAACTATTATATTATTGGCTATAGCATCCAGATACTATTTTATCATTGGCTAGAGCGTGCAGAAACTATCATATCATTTGCTATAGGGTGCAGAAACTATCATATCATTGGCTTTAGCGTGCAGATACTATTATATCATTTGCTATAGCATCCAAAAACTATAATATCATTGGCTATAGCATCCAAAAACTATAATATCATTGGCTATAGCATCCAAAAACTATAATATCATTGGCTATAGGGTGCAGAAACTATTATATCATTGGCTATAGCGTGCAGAAACTATTATATCATTGGCTATAGCATCCAAAAACTATTATATCATTGGCTATAGCGTGCAGAAACTATTATATCATTGGCTATAGCATCCAAAAACTATAATATCATTGGCTATAGCATCCAAAAACTATAATATCATTGGCTATAGGGTGCAGAAACTATTATATCATTTGCTATAGGGTGCAGAAACTATCATATCATTTGCTATAGGGTGCAGAAACTACTATAGCATTAAAACCCTTCAGTTGAGGCCGTATTGTCGTTGAAATGAAAAGGGGTATTTATTTATATTATAGGGACATACTGTATGTTGAATACATATTTTTCTTAAAAGTGTAATACATGTATCACTACATCATGTACCAGCATATCACCAAGAGTGTGTTGAAGGGAATGGAAAAGAATTTTCTGTTAGAGAGTAAGAATGTGTGATAATTAAAGTAATTGAAAAGGAATGACTAAAGTATAAGATTTTATTTAAAAAATAGGCTTAACTTTGACAGTATGAGCCAGCTACGAGAAGGGGAAAAAAATGTGCATACAATAGACGATCAAGGATTAATAACTGGATGAAGTAGACACAAAAAATACTTTCACTTACATTTTTAGCTCATCGGATGGTGGGCCATTCAAATCACCGCTTGTCCGTGGTCGGTCATTTATTCCCTTTGTCCTTTAACAATTCTTGTTATCGCTATTTCTCAGAAAGTACTGTAAGGATGTTTCTCAAATTTCATGTGAATATCTCGGATCAGATTTCCCATGGTTATGTATATTAAATTCAGGGACTGATTGGAAAACAAGTGTGGCCGAAAGGCAGCCATCTTTAATTTTGAGAGTTAAAGTTTGTTAGTGCTTTTTCTCAGAAAGTACTGGATGGACCTTTTTGAAATTTGGTATGAAGGGAAGTTCCCTATGGTTTCTAGGTATGCATATCAACTTTTGGGACTGATGGGAAAGCAAAGATTGCCTGAAGGGTATATAGCCATCTTAGATTTTGACTGTTAAAAATTGTTATCATTATTTTACAGAGTACTAAAGAGATCTTTCTCAAATTTGATATGCAAGTCCCCCTTGGTTCCTAGTTGTGCATATTTATTCTGAGACTGATCAAATAAAAAAATGGCCGACAGGCAGCCGTCTTGAATTTTGACAGTTAAGATTTGTTATCGCTAATTTTCAGAAAGTACTGAAGGATTTTTCTGAAATTTAATATGTAAGTAACCTTTGTTCTCTAGTTGTGCATATTTACTTTTGAGACTGATTGGAAAAACAAAATGGTCAAAAGGTGGCCGTCTTGGATTTTGACAGTTACTTTTTTTATATCTATATATTTCTAAGTACTGGAGGGATCTTTCTCAAATTTCATTTGCGTGTTCCCCTTGCCCCTTCTTTAAAACACAATACCCCTGGCCCTAATGACAATTACCTCTCATTGACGGCACGGCTTATTATATCAGAATTACAAACTTTTAGCATTTTGCATATAGAATGCCAATACAATGACATTTGCCATAGTGGCAAAAAAACATGATATGATGAGGTTTAAGATAAAATTGACAAGATTCCCATTAACGTATTTGGTAATAGTACCTGTAAGGAAAATGAACAGCAAAGAAGGTAAAGATCAACTGTTGTAGATCTGATAAAGACCCTTTCATGGTGGGCACCAACATCCTTCTAGGATCTCTTGTCATTTGATAGAATAGAAATAATCAATGTTATTGTTATTAGGGTGGAATACATAACTCAGATTTGAAAATGTGGGAAAAATAATTAACTCTGACGGAAATGTTTGCAGTTCATTATTTTTTCCCAACGTTTTCTCACCAACGTTATCTAATTATATTCCTTTATTATAATACAGATGTTGATTAATTTTTAATTAACGTACATTGATATACCAGTCTATATATGTACCATATGATATATGCTGTACTAGGTTAACATCTCACTAGTACCGCGTATCAGCTTACCACTACAGAACATACAGAGATTCTATTACAGTCCCCAAACGTTCATATTCCAGACTCATCACTCTCTAGATACCACTTTATCACTAGCCTTATAGTGTGGTGATGACGGGGACAGCTTGGATTTGATTGCGTTAACTCACATTGTGGTTTCAGGTATTGTAAGCTGTGGTTCAAGAATGTTACAGAACAAGGAAGGGGTTGTTGACCTCAGTACGGAGGCTGCTTTGACTTGGGGTAGATAGGAATGTGAAAGAGGTCCACAGGAGGACAATGAGGTAAGTAAACTTTCAGAGTTCTATCTAAATTGTTAGCCAGCTGTATACAATATATCTGACAAATTAAAACTATATACAGACATTTTTCTAACGTCAGCATTTTTTTTATAAACGCACTCTTTTTGCTGCCTGTGCTTCTGTTTGCTTTTGACATTTTTGCCTTCTATTTCAAAAGTCACTAATATTGGTGAGCATAATCATAATTATATAGTGAATACAGGAAGTAAGATTCGTGCACAGAGAAATTCTTTGGTGACATTTTCAAACATTTCACCTTATCACTACATGCTTTACCAGATATTTGATCCTTTATCTGTGGTCATACGTTCAAGTATATTACATTCCAGTTAAAGCGAATGGCTTACACTTCCAAAAAGCGAGAAATTTGACTCATAAAAGTTTGCCGTAAGTTGAGCTGGAGAAATTTGAATCATTATAGCTATATCAGATTGTTATACCTTTGTACATTACAGCTATGTGAGGGAACTGTATTTTTATACTTGATAGCTATATAAGAGTGTTGTACCTTTTTACATTACAGCTATGTGAGGGTACTGTATATTTATACTTGATAGCTATATAAGATTGTTATTCCTTTATACATTACAGCTATGTGAGGGTACTGTATATTTATACTTGATAGCTATATCAGATTGTTGTACCTTTGTACATTACAGCTATGTGAGGGCACTGTATATTTATACTTGAAAGCTATATCAGATTCTTATACCTTTATACATTACAGCTATGTGAGGGTACTGTATATTTATACTTGATAGCTGTATCAGATTGTTATACCTTTATACATTACAGCTATGTGAGGGTACTGTATATTTATACTTGATAGCTATATAAGAGTGTTGTACCTTTGTACATTACAGCTATGTGAGGGCACTGTATATTTATACTTGAAAGCTATATCAGATTCTTATACCTTTATACATTACAGCTATGTGAGGGTACTATATATTTATACTTGAAAGCTATATAAGATTTTTACACCTTTGTACGTTACAGCTATGTGAGGGTACTGTATATTTATACTTGGTAACTATATAAGATTGTTATAACTTTATACATTACAGCTATGTGAGGGTATTGTATATTTATACTTGATAGCTATATAAGAGTGTTGTACCTTTGTACATTACAGCTATGTGTGGGTACTGTATATTTATACTTGATAGCTATCTCAGATTGTTATACCTTTATACATTACACCTATGTGATGGTACTGTAGATTTATACTTGATAGCTATATAAGAGTGTTATACCTTTATACATTACAGCTATGTGAGAGTACTGTATATTTATACTTGGTAACTATATAAGATTGTTTTACCTTCATACATTACAGCTATGTGAGGGTACTGGATATTTATAATTGATAGCTATATAATATAAGATTGTTATACCTTTATACATTACAGCTATGTGAGAGTACTGTATATTTATACTTGGTAACTATATAAGATTGTTATAACTTTATACATTACAGCTATGTGAGGGTACTATATATTTATACTTGAAAGCTATATAAGATTTTTACACCTTTGTACATTACAGCTATGATTGTTATACCTTTATACATTACAGCTATGTGAGGGTATTGTATATTTATACTTGATAGCTATATAAGATTGTTGTACCTTTGTACATTACAGCTATGTGAGGCTACTGTATATTTATACTTGATAGCTATCTCAGATTGTTATACCTTTATACATTACAGCTATGTGAGAGTACTGTATATTTATACTTGGTAACTATATAAGATTGTTATACCTTTGTACGTTACAGCTATGTGAGGGTACTGTATATTTATACTTGATAACTATATCAGATTGTTGTACCTTTGTACATTACAGCTATGTGTGGGTACTGTATATTTATACTTGATAGCTATATCAGATGGATGTACCTTTGTACATTACAGCTATGCGAGGGCACTGTATATTTATACTTGATAGCTATATCTGATGGATGTACCTTTGTACATTACAGCTATGCGAGGGCACTGTATATTTATACTTGATAGCTATATCTGATGGATGTACCTTTGTACATTACAGCTATGCGAGGGCACTGTATATTTATACTTGATAGCGGTACTGTATATTTATACTTGATAGCTATATAAGATTGTTATACCTGTATACATTACAGCTATATGAGTGTACTGTATGTTTATACTTGGTAACTATATAAGATTGTTATAACTTTATACATTACAGCTATGTGAGGGTACTATATATTTATACTTGATAGCTATATAAGATTGTTATTCCTTTATACATTACAGCTATGTGAGGGAACTGTATATTTATACTTGGTAACTATATAAGATTGTTTTACCTTCATACATTACAGCTATGTGAGGGTACTGTATCTTTATACTTGATAGCTATATAAGATTGTTATACCTTTTTACATTACACCTATGTGATGGTACTGTATATTTATACTTGATAGCTATATCTGATGGATGTACCTTTGTACATTACAGCTATGTGAGGATACATTACAGCTATGTGAGGGTACTGTATATTTATACTTGATAGCTATATCAGATGGATGTACCTTTGTACATTACAGCTATGTGAGGGCACTGTATATTTATACTTGATAGCTATATCAGATTCTTATACCTTTGTACATTACAGCTATGTGTGGGTACTGTATATTTATACTTGATAGCTATATAAGATTGTTATACCTTTATACATTACAGCTATGTGAGGGTACTGTATATTTATACTTGATAGCTATATAAGGTTGTGGTAACCTTTATACATTACAGCTATGTGAGGGTACTTTATATTTATACTTGATAGCTGTATCAGATTGTTATACCTTTATACATTACACCTATGTGATGGTACTGTATATTTATACTTGATAGCTATATAAGAGTGTTATACCTTTATACATTACAGCTATGTGAGGGTACTGGATATTTATAATTGATAGCTATATAAGATTGTTATACCTTTGTACATTACACCTATGTGATGGTACTGTATATTTATACTTGGTAAGTATATAAGATTTTTATACCTTTGTACATTACAGCTATGTGAGGGTAGTGTATATTTATACTTGATAGTGATAGCTATATCAGATTGTTGTTCCTTTGTACATTACAGCTATGTAAGGGTACTGTATATTTATACTTGGAAACTATATAAGATTGTTGTACTTTTGTACTTTACAGCTATGTGAGGGTACTATATATTTATACTTGAACGCTATATAAGATTTTTACACCCTTGTACATTACAGCTATGTGAGTGTACTGTATATTTATACTTGATATCTATATAAGAGTGTTATACTTTATCCAATTACAGCTATGTGAGGGTACTGTATATTTATACTTGATAGCTATATAAGAGTGTTATACTTTATCCAATTACAGCTATGTGAGGGTACTATATATTTATACTTGAAAGCTATATAAGATTTTTACACCTTTGTACATTACAGCTATGTGAGGGTACTGTATATTTAAACTTGATAGCTATATAAGATTGTTGTACCTTTGTTCATTACCTTTGTACATTACAGCTATGTGAGGGCACTGTATATTTATACTTGATAGCTATATCAGATTGTTGTACCTTTGTACATTACAGCTATGTAAGGGTACTGTATATTTATACTTGATAGCTATATCAGATTGTTGTACCTTTGTACATTACAGCTATGTGAGGGCACTGTATATTTATACTTGATAGCTATATCAGATTCTTATACCTTTATACATTACAGCTATGTGAGGGAACTGTATATTTATACTTGATAGCTATATAAGAGTGTTATACTTTATCCAATTACAGCTATTTGTTATACCTTTATACATTACAGCTATGTGAGGGTACTGGATATTTATAATTGATAGCTATATAAGTATACTTGATAGCTATATAAGATTGTTGTACCTTTGTTCATTACCTTTGTACATTACAGCTATGTGAGGGTACTGTATATTTATACTTGGTAACTATATAAGATTGTTATACCTTTGTACATTACAGCTATGTGAGGGCACTGTATATTTATACTTGATAGCTATATCAGATTCTTATACCTTTATACATTACAGCTATGTGAGGGTACTTTATATTTATACTTGGTAGCTGTATCAGATTGTTATTCCTTTATACATTACACCTATGTGATGGTACTGTATATTTATACTTGGGTACTGTATATTTATACTTGATAGCTATATCAGATTGTTGTACCTTTGTACATTACAGCTATGTAAGGGTACTGTATATTTATACTTGATAGCTATATAAGAGTGTTATACCTTTATACATTACAGCTATGTGAGGGAACTGTATATTTATACTTGATAGCTATATAAGAGTGTTGTACCTTTGTACATTACATATAAGAGTGTTATACTTTATCCAATTACAGCTATGTGAGGGTACTATATATTTATACTTGATAGCTATATAAGATTGTTATACCTTTATACATTACAGCTATGTGAGATTAATGTATATTCATACTTGGTAACTATATAAGATTGTTATACCTTTATACCTTTATACATTACAGCTATGTGAGGGTACTGTATATTTATACCTGATAGCTATATAAGAGTGTTGTACCTTTGTACATTACAGCTATGTGAGGGCACTGTATATTTATACTTGATAGCTATATCAGATGGATGTACCTTTGTACATTACAGCTATGTGAGGGCACTGTATATTTATACTTGATAGCTATATCAGATTGTTATACCTTTATACATTACAGCTATGTGAGGGTACTGTATATTTATACTTGATAGCCAAATAAGATTGTTATACCTTTATACATTACAGCAATGTGAGGGTAGTGTATATTTATACTTGGTAACTATATAAGGTTGTTATACCTTTATACATTAAAGCTATGTGAGGGTAGTGTATATTTATACTTGATAGCTATATAAGGTTGTTGTACCTTTGTATATTACAGCTATGTGAGGGTACTTTATATTAATACTTGATAGCTATATAAGGTTGTTGTACCTTTGTACATTACAGCTATGTGAGGGTACTGTATATTTATACTTGGAAACTATATAAGATTGTTGTACTTTTGTACTTTACAGCTATGTGAGGGTACTGTATATTTATACTTGATAGCTATATCAGATTGTTGTTCCTTTGTACATTACAGTTATGTGAGGGTACTGTATAGTTATACTTGATAGCTATATAAGATTGTTGTACCTTTGTACATTACAGCTATGTGAGACTGTATATTTATACTTGATAGCTATATAAGAGTGTTATCCCTTTATACATTACAGCTATGTGAGGGTACTGTATACTTATACTTGGTAACTATATAAGAGTGTTGTACCTTTGTACTTTACAGCTATTTGAGGGTACTGTATACTTATACTTGGTAACTATATAAGAGTGTTGTACCTTTGTACATTACAGCTATTTGAGGGTACTGTATACTTATACTTGGTAACTAAATAAGAGTGTTGTACCTTTGTACATTACAGCTATGTGAGGGTACTGGCCCACTTCCCCTATGTGGTACTCCTGGCAGTGTTTGTTGTGGTGGCCACATGCCTCATACTGTCCACTACAGTCATACAGCTCCCAGACTTTGGAGACCCTATGGCAGTAAGTATAATTATAGTATAATAAGTATAACAAGTTCTTAGTTAATTTAAAGAGTTCAGAGCTTATGGTTGTTGTTGACAATGTACATGACTTTAAACAAAGATTATTTACATATATTTATGTTTATATTGCACATGTGCTCTATATAATGACCTCAATATAGGTTGTGGTACTCATACTAGTTAGTGGGCACTATGTTCAGCAATTCACTTAGAGATGCTGAGCTGACCTGTCCACATCTCACACTCACACTTGGTACATTTGCAGGGGTTTGAGCCCCGTGGTACAGATCTAGGACAGCGACTGGCTACCTACCATAATGTCATGTACAACGTAGACAACAAACTCAGCCTGCTGCCATTTGGAGCCGAATTTAAGGACCAGATTGAGGACCAGCTCACAGACAATGCGGACAATGACACAGAGTACTGGGACGAGCAAGGATATGTCAAACGCAGCACAAGAAGAACTGCTCTTTGCAACCTCCCAGGTAACTTCAACTACAGGTAGACATAATGTCCGAGGTGATACCTTGTACAGATAACATAACCTAGGCCTGTAACAACAAGTATATTGAGAAGATACATAGAGGAAACTGAAGCATACATACAGGTAACTGATACAGATACAGGTAGATACATACAGGTAACTGATACATGTACAGGTAGATACATACAGGTAATGCATACATGTAGATACATACAGGTAACTGATATATATACAGGTAGACACATACAGGTAACTGATATATGTACAGGTAGATACATACAGGTAACTGGTGCATGTACAGGTAGATACATACTGGTAATTCATACATGGACAGGTAGAAACATACAGGTAACTAATGCATGTACAGGTTATACATATACAGGTAGATACATACAGGTAACTGGTGCATGTACAGATAGGTACATACAGGTAATTACATAACTGATGCATATACATGTAAACACATACAGGTAACTGATACATGTATAGAATGTCTTAGTCTTTCCGGTGCCTGTAGTTGAATTTTACTTTGGCTCTACTTTCATTTGTAGATAACATTTAAGCTGCATATTGACATTTTTGTTTCTACGTTTCAGACAAAGACTACCGAGGGTTGGCAAGAATTGTGTTCAAGAGTAAAGATAGCAGTAACCTGTTCACTGCAGACAAGATCAGGCACATGTGTCGTGTGGAAGAGGAGCGCATTCACACACATCCCACATACCCAGGTATGTGTTTGCGAGCCAATGATGAGAGCTGTTGCCGAAGCTGGTCTTTGGGCAACTTCATTGCATTCCTGACAGGCCACGAGAATTGCTCGGAGATAAGAGAGGAAGATGTGAGTAGGGTAGGACGTTTGTTGCAGAGTTGTGCTCCCTTCTATCACAATTATACCCTTAAACACAACTGTGACACACTAACCCGTGGGGCCAAACGCTACATCTGCCACGACATGCCAAAGAAGTGTATGCGACTCAACACTGTCTACGACATATTCCACTACATAGCAGACATTGAATTCCTGCAGACTAACAACAAGGTGTCGTGGCCCGTGTTGAGATGGGCAGTGACTTTTCTACCTGTGTATGCTAACGAGAACACTGTGGAGCTATATAAGCACATGGAGGAGTGGACAGAATCTCTGGAGGAAGTTCAGATTGTGGGGGTCAACTTTGGCATCAAGTATTTGCTGTTTAGTGAGTACCTGTGGTCAGACACAGTGTGGCTTATGTCAGCTGGCTGTGTTATCTTCCTCATCATCTGGCTGTATTGTGCATCACTGTTCATCACTATCATGACCTTTCTGATGATGTTTTGGTCCCTGGAACTTGCCTACTTCCTCTACATGCTTGTGTTTGAGATCAAATTCTTTCCCTATATGAACCTGGTCACTGTAATTATTGTGATCGCGATTGGTGCTGATGATGTCTTTATATATAGCAAGGTGTGGCACCTGGCAAAGTCAGAACCAAACAATGGGACACTGGAGAAAATTGTGTCCAACACGCTCAAGCACGCCACTTTGTCAATGTTCGTGACAAGTTTTACAACCGCAGCAGCTCTATTTACTACCACTATAAGCTCCATCACGGCCATCAAATGTTTCAGTATCTATGCTGGTCTGACTGTTGTCTGCAACTTTGTGTTGGTGGTGACATGGTTACCTGCTTCCATCATCATTCACGACAAGTGGTGTAACTGTGAGGCTTGGTATAACCCCGAGTTCCTCACCACCAAAGGAGTCTGCTACTACCTGTGTAAAATTCCTTATAAGGTACATAATCAGTTCTCTGATTGGTCAAAGATACTTTTTGAGAAAGTAATACCATTTATTATGATAAAATTACGAATCCTTTGGATTGTTTTATTAGGAGGAGTAGGAATCGGTGGTGTTGTTGTGATATTTTTCTACCCAAAATTAAAACTGCCCTCTTCTGAAAAATTCCAAGTATTTTCTTCTGATCATCTGTTTGAACGTTACGATTTTGTGCTGAACAATGAATTTTGGTTTGAAAGAGAACACACACAGCACAGATCACTGTTGCCCTTGACGATGGTGTGGGGGGTCCACCCCATAGACAATGGTAACTGGCTGGATCCTTTCAACAAAGGAGACCTTAAGTTTGATTACAGTTTTAATCCTACAACTGTTTCTGCACAAAAATGGTTTTTGAATTTTTGTAAGAAGATACGACAGACAGATTTTTACTTTGATTTACCTGGCTTCCAGTTTACAAACTGTATGTTTGAGGACTTCCAGGGCCTGATGAAGAGGCCCTGTATTGATTACATGCAGGGTATAGATCACAGTCCCTGTTGTAATGCGACAGATAGCCAGCCCCTGTCTTCCGCAGCCATGATCCAGTGTCTGACAGAGTACATTCCAGCTCTCAGGACGACTCCCGGTGTCCGCTACAATTTCTTCACCCCAGGCCTCAGATTTTACAACGGTAGAATATGTGCCTTCATTATACAGTTCTTGAGTAACGAAACTTTTTCATTTGCTTATGACAAAATTAATGTTTTTTATAAAAAAGTCAATAGTTGGGTCACACAGGAGCTATCGACAGCCCCAACTGAAATAAAGAATGGCTGGTTCATCAGTGACTTTGAGTTTTATGACCTTCAGAACAGTCTACTGCAGGAGACCCCATTAGCATTTGGTGTGTCGCTGGCTGTGGTGTCTGTTGTAGCATTCCTGACGACCTTGAACTTGTTGATAAGTTTCTTGGCAATTTTGAGTATTGCATTTGTAATGTTTACTACTGTGGCAGCTCTAGTGCTGCTGGGCTGGGATCTCAACATTCTGGAGTCTGTAGTGGTCACGGTGGCCATCGGAATGTCCATAGATTACACACTCCATTACGGCGTGTCCTACCAACTGTGCCCTGACTTTGACAGACAGACACGAGTTTCCACCTCTGTAGCCAGGCTTGGAAATGTTATCTCCATGGCGGCTTTGACCACGTTCCTGGCGGGAGCCATGATGATGCCGTCCACAGTGCTTGTGTACCAGAAGTTTGGTATCTTCCTGATGCTGATCATTTCTATCAGTTGGACCTACTCCACTTTTTTTTTCCAGGCCCTGCTATGTGTGTGTGGACCTACGAAAGGTTTCACTCAATTACACTGGCCATCCAGTGAGTGTTGCTCAAACTCTGTCCCGGACCGGCGAGACAAAACTCGCTACTCCACCTCAGAGTCCACCATGTCTACTTCCAGCAGCTATCATCACACAACGAGTACCGGTAGTGAGAGTCACGAGATGGAGCCACTCACGGACGACTACAAGCACCGTCACACCAGTCGCTCACGTCCAAGCTACAGTCGCGCACTGGTGCACACTGATTATAGCCCAGAGCCTCCGCGACGTGGCAGTCATGTTCGTTTCTCCATTGATAGTGTCGACAAATCAGTGTCTGTGTTTGACCCTGAAGATGAGATATCTCATGCACAACGCTGTCGGTCGAGAGCAGAGTCTGAGGTCTTTTTTGAAGACGAAGAAATAGAATCTCAAACAAATGACAGAAATGATAAAAATAAAGACTCAGGATCTTGACACTGATTATATAACCATATAGCACACATCGATGTGTGACTTACCTCAATCTGTTCCAATACCAAACTTAGAATCTCAGGTCTCACTGCATACCGCTACTCCATTGTATCAGCATTATATATCACAAATATATAAATATATATTTAAATCTTTTCTGAAAACTTGTCAGATAATTGGACATATATAAAAAAAAAATCTATTTATCAAAAATTCTTGTGGTAGTGTGTAGATCCAAGTGATACGTCTTCCATTGATATGTGCTCAAACCGGACATGCTACGAGGTCTGTTGTGGTAGGGGCAATATTTTACCGGTGATAAGACTAGGACACATTATAAAGGGGCATTCATGAGCACATAGGGAGGGTTGTTTAAAAAAGGGGGTCACATGAAGATGTGGGGGCATGTCTAGAAAAGGGATCACATAGTATGGAAGGCACACATGTGCAGGGGGAGGGAGGATCCATGAATGGGTGGGCGGTGTCTTGGAAAGGCATATGAGCCTGGAGGAGGGGGGCTTAGAAAAGAGATCACTTGAGAGTGTGGGGACCTAAGAAAGGGGATCATATGAGTGTGATCAGCCTCAGAATACAGACCACATGACTGAAGCCTAAGAAAGGAGATCACATGACTGTGAGGGGCCTAAAAATGAGATCACATGACTGTGGGGCCTTAGAAAGGGTATCACATGACTGAGGGGCCTTAGAAAGGAGATCACATGACTGTGAGGGACCTAAAAATTAGATCACATGACTGAAAGGGGCTTAGAAAGGAGATCACATGACTGTGAGGGGCTTAGAAAGGGGATCACCTGAACCTTGGTACTGCTTATCCCTGAAATTACCCTTAGTTATTGAAAGTGTTTTATAAGAAATTACAAGTTGTTTTAAAAACCTTTTCAACAGGGGTGGGCTTATAAGTGAACCTAGGCTTAGCGCTGGTAAAATATGGTAATTTAGTGTTTTATATTTCTCATTCCAGATGTACATACATCCTATTTAAATATTTTACAACTTTTATGATGAACTGTATACAGATAAATCTTCAAAGACCGTCATCATTTTATTATATGTTATGAAGCTTGTGTCGAGTGATGGATATGATATTTTTGTAGCATCCATTGTGATTTATATATATATATGGTACAGTGATTTAAATGTATCTCTTTGAGTATTCTCCATATCAATAAATAATAGTCCAGTAAAAAATATACTTAATACAAAGTAATTGCTCCAGCACATTCTTTTTTAAATTAAAATATACATGTAAGATATTACCACTGCAGAGTTTTATAAAGAAAAAGGGAAAATTAGGTAAAAGGAAAAAATAGGTAATTAGTTTCCTGCTTTTTTATAATCAGTCATGCTTAATAGGGGCTGCTCAAAAAAAAGAAAACAAGCATGTGTTATATTTTAATATATAAGAATCCATGACACAATAACAGGACACTCTCTGTAACTGAAGCATTTCCTGGAGAAATCATTCTGTTCACATCAACCAAACATTGTGTAAAGTACCCTGAGGGCCTACGTCTGCTGTTTACTGTGGGCTAGATGTCACTGAGTGTCATACCATTGTTGTCAGATCTAATTAGTACTCTAAAAGTCTATAGAGTCACAAAAGTATTTCGGTAAACATTAAAAGGAAATTTTGATGATTACTTAGATCTATGTGTTCTTCAATATTTAAGTCAAACTGATTTATTGTAAAAAGTTTTCATATTGAGCAAAAAATAAGAACACTTAAATGGATGTGTAAACAATGACCAAAAAAACCTTGATTTTGACACACATTGATATACGTATAGACACAATGATATACATATTGACACAATGATATACATATTGACACACAATGATATACACATTGACACACAATGATATACAAATTGACACAATGATATACGTATTGACACACAATGATATACACATTGACACAATGATATACATATTGACACACAATGATATACATATTGACACAATGATATACATATTGACACACAATGATATACACACTGACACAATGATATACATATTGACACACAATGATATACACATTGACACAATGATATACATATTGACACACAATGATATACATATTGACACAATGATATACATATTGACACACAATGATATACACACTGACACAATGATATACATATTGACACACAATGATATACACATTGACACAATGATATACATATTGACACACAATGATATACATATTGACACAATGATATACATATTGACACACAATGATATACACATTGACACAATGATATACATATTGACACACAATGATATACATATTGACACAATGATATACATATTGACACACAATGATATACACATTGACACAATGATATACATATTGACACACAATGATATACATATTGACACAATGATATATGTATTGACACAATGATATACATATTGACACACAATGATATACATATTGACACAATGATATACATATTGACACACAATGATATACACATTGACACAATGATATACATATTGACACACAATAATATACACACAAACTCCAGCGATACTTTTTGACCTGTCAGTAAGATAATTAAACACACACAAACTCCAGTGATGTCTTTGACCTGTCAGTGAGATAATCAAACACACACAAACTCCAGCAATACTTAGTGACCTGTCAGTAAGATTATTTCAGTAACAATAAGAAATTGTGTGAATTTCACGGATATCTTTTGACCAATCAATACGCTTATTTCAGTAACATTCTGTACAAGGCATTCCTGTATGCAAGTTTGTTCAAAGAAAGGTGCTGACCCTCCAGGGTGTATAATAGTATTTAATGATTTTCTTTTAAATTACAAACAGTATGCGCATACAATAGTGCCAAGTATTATGTTTGTCTCCTTTGATAATTATAAACTATATAGTATATTTGTACCAGATGACTCTGTTGTAACATATTTCTGTGCTTCAAGTTTGTTGTTCTTATTTTTGCAATGTGCTATATTGTGATATTCGTACAAATTTATGTCTTTTTTTTTCGCCATAAATCTTTATAAGTGTTTACAAGATTCGTAGTAAATCTATCATATGTTATTTTTAACTTTGAATGTTTATTAATTTAAATGTGAGTCTTAATAGCTATTTGATGGAATATGCTTTCAATGAGATTAATGTTGGGAATCGTCTTATAAACAAGACATACTCCAAAGAAAATTTATGTAAGAAAGTTCATGAGTTTGTAGTACTTATTTAATAAAAATACTGACATTAATATTTTTTGTTAAATATATAAAATTGAAAAAGGATGCTGATAAATGAATCTCTATCAGTTCCTCCTGTAATTGTCTTAATTAATTTATGTCATAGATAACAAGAAATAATATATAGATTTTTATAACTGAAACTGATTGTTAATGAAATAGAAACCTCGTTTAAATTTGTGTTCTAATATAAGTAATGGGGGCTTCGTAAGGCCAAACCTAAAAAATATTACGTTCCCCTCTGTTATATTTCCTGAAAGGTCGAATGAGATTATATGTATGCCATGTCACAAGTTCTGTTGTCTCTCAACCTTTGGATCCTTCTGAGCCAAGATAATGCTGATCTTCATTTAGGGAGTAATCAGTATTTGTGATTTGTTTATTCAGAGGTCTTGTGGAGTAACAAGGGGTACTTAGCATTACAGCTGACTGTATTTTAAGTGTGGAATACAGAGTTAGTAAGATAGATTTAAATGGGTGGACCATGATAAAGGGCTGGAATGAGAACAACTTGGGAAGTATTGATGTTGTGAAATAATTATAAAAATATTTAACAAGATCTTTGGAGCGTCGGATGAAGTTTGTGTAAACTAAGGCCACTGGAAAAGTTAAAGGGGAATCATTAAGGCATAGAAATTTAGTGTGCCAGAAAATCACAATAAAGCTGTGTTTTTAAAATCTTCAGAAATATGAATTATATTTTATATAACAGTTTCTACACTGCACTGTTGTTTCACCTTTGTCTGCATTGTTATCCTAGTGAAGAAAAAAGAAAAAAACGTTTTCTGTCAGGATTCACTTGCAGGACTGAAATCAATAAGTATCTGTCTTTCCAGAGAGTTGAGTGAAATATCAGTCTGAGTGAGACAGGCTTATTTGATTAAATGTTTTCTTCACAAAAGTTGGGGCAAAAACATTTATTTTGTTGTCAAAGTTACCAACCTGACTGGCTGGATGTTGAACAGCTCTCCTGGCCAAAAGGATCATGGTGAGCTAATGCAATGGTGCAGCGTGTGTTGCCTGTATACCATCAACACTTCACAATTTTCTTCTTCAGAATCATAAGGACTATAGTCATAAATTTTGGTATATAACTTTAAATAAAGGACCTTGACCCACCTGAAGGTCATGCATTAAAATCTTTACCAAAAACATAATAATAACAGGTATACAATATATAACACCTGGCCAAGTGTCATGTTGTACATTATTAATTAACACAGATAGGAATAATAACAGGTATACAATATATAACCCCTGCCATAGTGTCATGTTATACATTATCAATTAACACAGATATGAATGATAACAGGTTCATAACACCTGATATAATGCCATGTTTTAAAGTATCGATTAATACAGGTATGAATTATAACAGGTACATTACACCTGACTTATAACAGACAGGTATATAACACCTGACCAAGTGTCATGCTATACACAATCAATTAATAATGATAGATGTAATAACTGTTATTTAAACCTTGACTAGCTAATATTGTTATATATATTGATTGGGTTGATTTTTTTCCAATCATATTAAGTTATGTTTTTACAAATTTGCTAAACTGTATAGAATTATTATGAATACTGCAATAAAGATATGTTTTCTCTCTGCCAAAAAAATAGCAGTTTATTTTTTTTTACTCACTTACAATGGAGGCATAAAGGTATAACTTTGTAAAATATTACTGTAGGTGCCGTCTATATAAAGATTTTTAGATATACAGTAGATTTTACTAAATCAACAAATGTTTAAGTGTATAATGCTGTTATTAGCTCACCTGGCTCTAAGGGCGAAATGAACTATTGTGATCCATTGCTGTCTGTCCTAAGTCCTTTGTCACCTGGCTCTAAGGGCGAAGTGAACTATTGTGATCCATTGCTGTCTGTCCTAGGTCCTTTGTCACCTGGCTCTAAGGGTGAAGTGAACTATTGTGATCCATTGCTGTCTGTCCTTGGTCCTTTCTCACCTGGCTCTAAGGGTTAAGTGAACTATTGTGATCCATTGCTGTCTGTCCTAGGTCCTTTGTCACCTGGCTCTAAGGGTGAAGTGAACTTTTGTGATCCATTGCTGTCTGTCCTAGGTCCTTTGTTATCAATCTGGACACTTTTCTTTGAACCTTTTCTTCAAACCAAATTTGGTAAGAAGTATACCTGGGGATGGTGGTTCAAATTTGCAATGGAGAAGAGGCTGCCGTCTTCAGTGACCCAAAAGGGGCAAAGGGTAAGAAAACATTGTTCTACAAATGAACTAGCAGTCAAATGGTTTCAACATTTGTTTGTTAATTTGCTACAAAGCTTGTGAAGAAAAACATAGTCTGTTTACATTGTGCAGTACTTGAATGTTTAAACACTCAAATGTCTTTTTCTGAAGAAACAATTAGCCTGAAACCATGATATTTCGACAGTCACTTCCTGGCATTTTTTTCTTTTCAAAATGTGCGAAAATAAATGACCATGACCTTCATTCAAGGTAACAGGGGTTAACTTTGTTAAAGCATCCAAATGACTTTTTCTGATACAATAAGAGGCCTGAAGACATGATATATGGTCAGTAGCTTTCTGGCTATAAATGGTACTAAACAAAAGAGAAAAGAAATTAACTTGACCTATATTCAGGTTCGCAGGTGTCAAATCTGTTAAAACACTTAAAGCACTTAAAGAGCTTCAAAAGGCCTAGAGGCACAGTAAATATGCCTGGCATCCAAACATGCTATAAGATTAAAAGGAAAAACACAACTATCTATATTCAAGGTCACAGGGGTCAAATCTGTTAAAATGGGTCTTCTGAAGATACAGCTTGTAGCTTGCTGGCAAGGAGAATCACAAAGTTCCTAAAATGAACTGATCTTGATCAATACTCAAGGTCAAAGGGAACAATCTGGTAAAATGCTCATACATCTTCTCCTGAAGAAGCTGAAGGAAAGAAATAGCATTGACCTTTTTTCAAGGTCACAGGGGTCAGCTGCAGCTTGATGGTATTGAGTACAACAACTATTGCGAAAAGAAATGATCTTTATTGGTATTCGGAGTAAAAGAGATCAAATATATTAAAACAGTTAAATTGCATCTTCTGAAACACAGAATGTAAGTGTCATGATATATAGCCAGGGGCTTGCTGGCAATGAAAGCTACAAAAAGGGCCGGTTTCCAAAACGGCCCCTTCTCTGATTAAAATTTCCTGTTGGTGGTGCATTGCCCATGCCGTTTAGGTCACAAATCTATAAAGTATAAAGATTTAGGTCACTTGGTTTGTTTTTTATGGCTCCTCAAAGTTGTACCTTTCAGAAGCTGTCTAAGTGTTGATAAAATGTGCATGTTATGTAAAATATTAATGAAAATCTAATCAAATGATGGTCACCGTAAAGAATACATTCATGGCATGATTGTGACAAAAAA